TTATGCCAGTACCACACTGTTTTCATCACTGTAGCTCTGTAATAGAGTTTGAAGTCAGGGATGGTAATGCCTCCAGACAATCCTTTATTGTATAGGATTGTTTTGGCTATCCTGGGTTTTTTGTTTTTCCATATAAAGTTGATTATTGTCCTCTCCAGATCTGTGAAGAATTTTGATGGGACCTTGGTGGGGATTGCATTGAATCTATAAATTGCCTTTGGTAGAATTGCCATTTTTACTATGTTGATCCTCCCAATCCAAGAGCAAGGGAGGTCCTTCCATTTTCTGGTATACTCCTCAGTTTCTTTCTTCAATGCCTTAAAGTTCTTGTCAAATAGATCTTTCACTTCCTTGGTTAGAGTTACCCCAAGATATTTTATGCTGTTTGTGGCTATCGTGAAAGGTGAAGCTTCTCTGATTTCCCTCTCTGCTTCCATATCCTTTGTGTATAAGAGGGCGACTGATTTTTTGCAGTTGATCTTGTATCCTGCCACATTACTAAAGCTGTTTATCAGCTGTAAAAGTTCTTTGGTGGAGTTTTGGGGGTCGCTTATGTACACTATCATATCATCTGCAAATAATGAAAGTTTCACTTTTTCCTTTCCAATTCGAATCCCCTTGATCCCCTTATGTTGTCTTATTGCTAGAACTTCAAGCACTATATTGAAGAGGTATGGCGAGAGTGGAATGCCTTGTCGTGTTCCTGAGTTTAATGGGATGGCTTTGAGTTTCTCTCCATTTAATTTGATGTTAGCTGTCGGCTTGCTGTGTATAGCTGTTATTATATAGGTATGACCCTTGTATTCCTAATCTCTCCAATACTTTTATCATAAAGGGATGTTGAATTTTGTCAAATGCTTTTTCAGCATCTAATGAGATGATCTTATGGTTTTTTCCTTTCAGTTTATTTATATGATGGATTACATTGATAGATTTTCGTATGTTGAACCAGCCCTGCATCTCAGGAATGAAGCCTACTTGATCATAATGGATAATTTTCCTAATGTGTTCTTGGATTCGGTTTGCCAGTATTTTGTTGAGGATTTTTGCGTCGATGTTCATGAGTGAGATTGGCCTGTAATTCTCTTTCCTGGTTGAGTCTTTGTGCGGTTTTGGTATCAGAGTAACTGTAGCTTCATAAAAGGAATTTGGCAGTGCCTCTTCTGTTTCTATATTGTGAAATACATTAAGGAGTATAGGTATTAGATCGTCTTGGAAGTTCTGGTAGAATTCCGCATTGAAACCATCTGGTCCTGGGCTTTTTTTGGTAGGGAGGTTTTTGATAACCTCTTTTAATTCTTCGCGACTAACAGGTCTATTTAGATTGTTCACCTGGTCCTGATTTAACGTTGGTATATGATATTTATCTAAAAAGTATCCATTTCCTTTACATTTTCCAGTTTTGTGGCATATAGGCTTTTGTAGTAAGATCTAATGATTCTCTGAATTTCCTCTGTGTCTGTGGTTATGCCCCTCTTTTCATTTCTGATCTTATTAATTTGCAAATTCTCTCTCTGCCGTTTGATTAGTTTGGATAGGGGTTTGTCAATCTTGTTGATTTTCTCCAGGAACCAGCCTTTTGTTTCATTGATTCTTTGGATTGTTTTCTGTGTTTCTATTTTGTTGATTTCAGCCCTCAGTTTGATTATTTCCAGTCTTCTACTCCTCCTAGGTGAGTCTGCTTCTTTTTTTTCTAGAGCTTTCAGGTGGGCTGTTAAGTCTCCAATATGTGCTTTCTCTGTTTTCTTTAATTGGGCACTTAGTGCTATGAACTTTCCTCTTAGCACTGCTTTCATAGTGTCCCATATGTTTGAGTATGTTGTTTCTTTATTTTCATTGAATTCCAGGAAGACTTTAATTTCTTTCTTTCTTGCTTCCTTAATCCAGGTATGGTTCAGTAGTTGACTGTTCAGTTTCCATGAGTTTGTAGGCTTTCTGGGGGTAGCATTATTGTTGAATTCTAACTTTAATCCATGGTGATCTGATAAGACACAGGTGGTTACTAATATTTTTTTGTAACTGTGTAAGTTAGCTTTGTTACCGAGTATGTGGTCAATTTTCGAGAAGGTTCCATGAGCTGCAGAGAAGAAGGTTTATTCTTTCCTCTTTGGGTGGAAATAATCTATAGATGTCTGTTAAGTCCATTTGCTTCATTACCTCCATTAATTCTCTAATTTCTCTGTTAGGTTTCTGTCTGATTGACCTGCCCATTGGTAAGAGAGGAGTGTTGAAGTCTCCTACTATTAGTGTGTGCGGTTTGATGGCTGCCTTGAATTTTAGCAATGTTTCTTTTATGTACGTGGGTGCTTTTATATTAGGGGCATAGATGTTCAGGATTGAGACTTCTTCCTGATGAACTGTTCCTGTTATGAGTATAAAATGCCCCTCTCCATCTCTTCTGATTGATTTAAGTTTGAAGTCAACTTTGTTAGAGATTAGTATGGCCACACCTGCCTGTTTCTTAGGTCCATTTGCTTGATAGGCCTTTTCCCAGTCCTTTACTCTGAGTAGGTGCCTGTCTTTGTGGTTGAGGTGTGTTTCTTGTAAACAGCAGAATGTTGGATCCTGTTTTCTTATCCAATCTCTTAGCCTGTGCCTTTTTATAGGTGAGTTGAGTCCATTGACATTAAGTGATATTAATGACCAGTGGTTGTTAACTTCTTTCATTTTTTTTTAGTCTTGGGTTTGTGTGTTTCCCTTCTTTGTTTGTGTTAGTGAAGGGTCTCTAGATGTCTGAATTATTGTGGTCATTGTTGGACTCCTTGGTTAGTGATTTTCCTTCAATTACTTTCTGTAAGGCTGGATTTGTGACTGCGTATTGTTTAAATTTGTTTTTATCCTGGAAAATTTTATTTTCTCCATTTATAGTGAATAAAAGCTTGGCTGGGTTATAGTAATCTGGGCTTGCATCCATGGTCTCTCAGTTTCTGCAGTACATCTATCCAGGACCTTCTGGCTTTCATGGTTTCCATGGAGAAGTCAGGTGTAAGTCTGATAGGTTTACCTTTATAAGTAATTTGGCCTTTTTTCCTTTGCAGCTCTTAATATTCTTTCCTTATTATATGGAGAGGGGATTTTTTTTTTTATCCAGCCTATTTGGTGTTCTGTATGCTTCTTGCACTTTCATAGGTATATCTTTCTTTAGGTTGGGAAAGTTTTCTTCTATAATTTTATTAAATATATTTTTGGACCATTGAGCTGCACTTCTTCTCCTTCTTCTATTCCAATTATTCTTAGGTTTGGTCTTTTTATTGTATCCCATATTTCCTGAATGTTTCGTGATGAGAGTTTGTTGGACTTGCTGTTTTCTTTGATCAGTGTGTTTATTTTCTCTATGTTATCTTCAGAATCTGAGATTCTTTCTTCTATCTCTTGTATTCTGCTGGTTATGCTTGTTTCTGTAGTCTCTATTCATTTACCTAGATTTTCCATGTCCAGCCGGCCCTCTGTTTGTGTTTTCTTCTTTGCCTCCATTTCAGTTTTCAGGTCTTGAACTGTTTCCATTATCTGTTTGATTGTTTTTCCTTGGTTTTCTAGGGTATCATTCACTGATTTATTCAATTCTTCAAACTTTCTGTTATATTTCTCATCCATTTCTCTAAGGGCGTTTTTTACATGCTGGTTAAGGGTGTCAATCACTTTCATGAAGTCAATCTTTTCTCCTTCTTCTTGATTAAGATGTTCTTGTCCTCCCATTGTGAGGTCGCTGGTTTCTGGTGGCTTCATGTTGCTTTTCAGCTTGTTGGGCGAATTCTTGCCGTGGCATCTGCCCATCTCTTCTTCCAAATGCTCCCTATGGATCTTCTTTTACCGGATCAGGTCTCCTTGCCTACCCAACACTGGCTCTCCCCAATGTTGCCTCTCCTGGCGCCGAGAGATCAGGTCTCCGTGCCCAATGCTGTTTCTCCCCAATGCTAGGTCTCCTGGCGCCTAGAGATCAGGCCTCTGTGCTGGTTGGGCAGCTTGCAAACAAAGCGCCTACCCCGCTTGGTGCAGGCAGGCCACAGAAACAAAGGAACTGCAGCCCGCCCGGGCGCCCCGAGTACTCGGACCCAGCGCCCAGACAGGCTGGGCGATGCCACGCGCCAAAAGAGGGCGGTGGGGCCGAAGTGGGCGAGTTGAAAAATTTTAATAAGTAAAGAAAGAAAGAAAGAAAGAACTTTTTCATTTTACATACCAATCCCAGTTCCCCCTTCCTCCCCCCTCTCTGTTTTTCCAACCTCCTGACCTCCTAATCCCCTACCATTCCTTGGAGAGGGTGAGGCCTCCCATGGGGAGTCAACAAAGTCTGTCACATCACTGGAGGCAGGACCAAGGCCCTGTGCCCTGTATGTAGGTGGGGCAAGGTATCCTCCATAGGGAATGGACTCCAATAAGCCAGTTCATGCATTAGGGAGAAATACTAGTTCTACTGCCAGTGGCCCCACAAACTGCCTAGGAGTTTGGCAATTCTTTAGTGATTTCATTTTGTTGTTGTTGTCTCCTTTCATATCTGGGATTTTTTCATTATTTCATTCATCTGTTTCTGTGTTGTTTTCACTGCCTTTGTTTAGTATTTATTGGTAATCTTTCTAAGTTTCTCCAACACATTCCCAGTTGCTCCTGTGAAGCGCTTGCTTTATTGCTTTTCTCATGGCATGCTACAGTGGGGCCTCTGGCTTCTGGAGAAAGCATATTGTCTTGTTTATTCAGGCTTGTGTTTTGTGCTAGAATCTAGACATCAAGAGTTATGCCATTTGACATTTTCCTCGCTGCAAATATTTCATCTGACCTTTGTTGAGTGGGACTTTAACACTTGGGTTGCTGTTGCCCACTCTGAACTCTAGCCATGTGTAGTGGCTCTAGGGTCTCCGAGTTCCAGACATGTGTGCTGGCAGGAAAAAGCTGTGCAGTAGGTCTATAAGGAGAAAGGAGTGGAACATGGCTAGAAGGAATGGATAGAAGCTAATGACTGGAGGAATTAGGGAGAAACATCGTGAGGCCATAGGCTGGGAGGAGAGGCAGCAACTTGCAACACTGCCATTTATTAAGACAAACTTGGGTTTTATGTTTATTATATTTAACACCATTTTTCTTTATTGTTTTGGGGGCAAAACTTGCCTGTTTACAAGTTACACAAAATTTTCATAGGTTTTTAACATCAATATTGTGATAGAAGAAGACAAGCAAGAGAAGATAAGCTTTGGAAGGTTTCAATCAGAAACAGCAGTAGGAAGGATCTGTAACTATGGAATAGCAGGTGCAAGTCTTAATTGTAGTGGCCTTTGCACAAAACTGAGGGAAGCACGTGGCTGGAATAGAGGGACCGAGAAAAAGCTAGTCAAAGGGCAAAAGTTCAGCAGGGACTAAACAGACCAAGCAAGAGTAAGACAGGTGTTGCATATTTTTAGCTTTATAATAAAAATGATCTGATGTGATGAAAAGAAACTATCATATTTTAATAAAAATCTTTAACTGTAAAAAAATATTGTGATAGTCAATGCATGCTTATACCCAATTCAAATTTAAGTCTTTTGTATAATTACTTGAATATTTAAAATTATAAAAGTATTATATTTGGAAGTTAATTCACCAAATTCTTCCTATTTATTAATTAGCAACAAAAACAAAAATGCACAAATTACTTATTTTCATTAGTAATATAAAGCATGACATTTTGTTCTTTCAGATTATGAAATGTTGTATTTTTGAGGACTGAGACACTATGTCTCGTGTTCACTGTGAATCAGAACTGTATATCAGAAAGTATAGAAGAAGCTTTGGGAAAGTGGTGGATAGAGAAAGATGGGGAAGCAATTGCATCTATTCCGAGACACATCATGTTTTGGGAACTTTGAATAAACTGCTTGTGACTTTGTGTCAGCACTTTCTGCTGCCAGATTAATCACAATATAATAATACAAGCTTATACTTATGAATAAAATTTAGTTAAGCAATACTTCAAAAGTAAAATTAAAACTATTGATAATATGCATGCACCTTAATTGAGCAAAGGTATGTGACTTAATTCTACTAATGTTTTTAGTGTGATTTTGTGCAAGTAGGATAATTGATGTGACCATCGATGCAAAATGTCTGGGATAGTTGAGATGTTGCCAGGTGATATCAATTTTTACACTTAAATTCTTGCATTTCCCCTGATTTGTAGTACCGCTTTTATTTTTCTTTCCATCGGAAAATTATGTTATGTTTTTCCATAATTTCTTCTGATACTATGCATGGATCTAAAAGAAAAAATTATCATAAAATTTCAATACATATATCTACAGTGATTTAGTTTTCACATAGAAAGTATTATATTTGTAGTAATTTTTGCTAAGCTGTTTTTATTTTTTGCTTTTTTGGCAGTTTTTTTTTTTCGTATAACCATCCTGGTTGTCCTGAAACTTGCTTTGTAGACCAGGCTGGCATCATGCTTACTGATACCCACCTGCCTCTGCCTCCCAAGTGCTGGGATTATAGGTGTGTGTCACTGCGACCCAACTGGTAAATTCTTAAAAACCATGAAAGGAGCACATAAATTTAAGTAAATAGAGAATATTACATGATGTAAAAGTTATAGGTTTAATATAATAATTCGATTCATCACCAAGTGCTCCTAACATTCATAACTTGCATTTCAGGATAATTATATTTGTTTTTCTTGATTTAGGTATTGGGCAGAGTTATACAATTTGAGCCATGACATGTATGGTAAGCAAATCTAATGTTCAGTGGTTTGACAATCATTAATAATACTGTGAATGCTCTGTTGATGTCCGTAGCTCCTTATGGGTAGTGTAGCAGGAGCCATACCAATGGTTCATAGCAATGAACTCTTAAAAATAAAGATGAATGTTTTTCTTTGGGTTCTCCTTCTTATTTAGCTTCTCTAGCTGAACATAGTGGACAATGAGGACTACTGAGAACTCAAGAACAATAGCAATGGGTTTTTGATCCTACTGCACGTACTGGCATTGTGGGAGCCCAGGCAGTTTGGGTGCTCACCTTACTAGACCTGGATGGAGGTGGGTGGTCCTTGGACTTCCCACAGGGCAGGGAACCCTGATTGCTCTTTGGGCTGCCTAGGGAGGGTGACTTGATTGGGGGAGGGGAGGGAAATGGGAGGCGGGGCGGGGAAGAGACAGAAATCTTTAAAAAATAAATAAATAAATTTAAAAAAAAAGTAAAGATGAATGGACTAAAGGATAAACTGTGTGATTCACAGGGTCACACTACAGCTTCCATGATGAGAGGTTTTTCCTTATTTTTTGTTCGTTTGGTTTTATTTTTGGTTTTTCTTTTAGATTTTGTTTTGTTTTGTAGTGATGGGGGAGGTTGCAAGGGTGGAGAGCAGATGTGAGGAGACAGGGAGATAGATAAGTGGCATCAGGAAGCATGATATGAAATCCACAAAGAATCAATAAAAGTTAAAAGAATTTAAAAAATACTGTGATTAGAAAGCCTAACCATAATTGCCTTCACAATATTCATCATATATTCACAAAGTAGTAACTATGAATGTATCATGCATTTTATTTTGAAAGTTTTTTTTTAATGAAATTTCTATTTATCTATTGAATAACCAAACTGTACAAGTGGCAGTCCTGGTGGAAATTAGATTACCAACCACTACCTTGGACCCTGGGCTTACATCATACAAGTATACCATGTTGTCTTTCGCCATTCAACAATTGACAGGAATGTAACAAATTTCCCTTCTTAGGATCTGTGAAGTAGTATATGCATTTAACATATACTTGAAGATTGAGTGGGCTGATTTCATTTCTATGGGCATATACCAAAGAAGGGGCATAGGGATAATATATGGTAGGTTTATTTTCAGATTTTAAGCAGCTTTCATATTGTTCTCCATAGTAACTGCACAAAATCACATTCCTAGATTCAGATTAAGAGGTTCTTTCCCTCTACACAGTCATGAGCTTTTGTTATTTTAAGGAATCCTATTTGTGTTACAGCTCTAACTGGATGATATGGTATCTCATTGTGGCTTTGATTGGCAGCGCCATGAAAAGTATGGAATTAAGCATTATTTCCCTCACTGTCATGCATAGTTATTCTTTGGTAATTGTCTGCTCATTTTTTCCCAGTTTTGGTAGATTCACTTATCTTTTAAAATGTATTTAAATTGTTTTATGTATCCTTGACATAGGAAACCCTTGTACTACAGATGTAAACCACTGACCATGAATGGCTGATAATCTTTTTTTTTCCAGTTCTAGAGGCTGTGTAATAATTGCCTTGATCATGATCTTCACTATACAGAAGTATTTGAATGTCTTATACTCCATTGCCTAAGGTTTGCTTTTGTGTCTTGTGTTTTGGGATTCCATCCAAAATTTAATGATTAAGCCCACTTCTGTGTTTTCCCATTGTTTTCATTGTACTTTCAGTGTTTTGTACTTAATTTTGATCCACTTGGAGTTGACTTTCTCCCAGAATGAGAGACAGGAATCAAATTTCAATCATCTCTATGTGGGACTCAATTTTCCTTGCATCATTTATCGAAGATTCTATCATTTTTTCCAATATATGTTATTAGAATTCTATCCAAGTCAATTAACTATAGATGCATAGATCAAGTTCTCAAATATATATTCTCTTTCTGTGCATCAGTTGTTATCCAAATATCATAATGTTTTAGTTGTGCTACTGGTGAATCTTGGAACAAGATATTACAATATTCCATATTTTTCTTTGTTCGAACTTCTTGTTATTGTACTTCTATAAAAAATTTAAATTTTTTTCTCATACCTATGTGAAGAATGTTGTCCATATTTTAATGGAGTTTCATAGAGTCTGCTAATTGCTTTGGGAAACATGGTAATTTTAATATTAATTCTTCCAACCCACTAATATAAGAAATTTCTCTATTATCTTGTTTTATGAGATTTTTTTTTATCAATTAACTTCAGAATTCAGAAGTCATTCAATTCTGTTAAATTCATTGCTAGATAATTTTTTAAATTACTGTGAATGATATTGCTTTTATTGTTACTTCTCATAAAATTGAGATTGGCATCTAGATAAAGACTGATTTTTTTTGTATAATGATACCCATACTGTTTGTTAATCAGATTTGTTTTCAGTTCTTATATATGGGTGCCTCTTCAAGATTTACCACATAGGACAATATGTACTTTCAAATAAAATGAATTGACTCAAATCTTCATATTTGGATTCTGACTTTCCCAGGATCTCTGAAAACAAGGTACTCACTTAAACATTTTGGCTTCTTTGACCACTCTCCATCTCTACATGTTATTTTCTTCTTGCCCTGAAGTTGGTAAAAGGACTGGCACTGATATTCAACTGATGATAATGGTGCATATACTGGTAAGGGGAAGGAGGTGATGTCCCCATGGTCAATAGGTGGAGGAGGCCCGCATGTCTTTGTTGAATCTAAGAACACACATTTGAGTGTTTGAGAGATCAAGTCAAAGTAAAAGCTCAAGCAAAAACCAAGAAAAGTGAAGTGGTAACCATAATATTAAGGTTTGGTGATTTTTGGTTACAGAAATGATTGTTTACAGAAATTTTAATCATATAAATTGAGAGATAAAGGGCAATTTCTCCCTTCTTTCTCACCTAAAACACTTACTGAGTTAGAGCAAGCATGTGTGCTCTGAAACCTTCCAGTGCTACTCAGAACAGTACTGAACAGACAGATATCAATGCAGACAGACAGAGTTTGTTTTCAAGACACTGTTCCTGTATCCACATATTCTTGATCTTCATCATCACTTTGCAGAAATACCCATTTATTGACAAGAGGTAGATAAGGCTTGCTGGTTTCCTGATAGGGTCCAGGTGAGTGTAGGTATCTCTAAGTTATATTTTTCTGCTAAGTGCCTGGAAGAGGCCGGCACCAGCAGAGCTCCTGGGTAGTTCTTTATATCAATGGAGTCACATGGAAAAGATATTTTCCATCATGTTGAGCTGCTAGAAACTGTGCAGTGTACTTCATGACCCAGATTTTGTGAGTTGTCATCTATGCTGGGGGGGTGCTTTGGTGATACAACTTTCTTTGAGTCATTTCTACTCCTGTAAGTCAAATTTTACTTATATTTCTATAAGTAACTTCACTAAAACTCATGGTTCACCAAGTTTGACTTTAGTGTTATCTGTACATTGGTCTCTTTGGTCTCCTTATCTGGAGCAAGTAGCTGCTTGTTCATCATCTGCTCAGGAAAAGTTTAGTCATGCAACAGAATTGTACATATAAATACTTTCATTTTTTTCATTTAATTTTCATAGATGGCCCTAAGGCCACCGCTTAGCCAAGTGTTGTCCCAAAGAACTAATAGTTCTACCCTTGCATTCTATGTTAGCATTGTTTTAAAGAAAGTCATGATTTCATAATTTTGAACTGCTTATAATCAGTGAGAAATTAGTGAGCATCATTTGTTTAGTTTGATTTTTATTATTTTGGGGTCACAGGTTTCTTCTTGTTTGTTTGTGATTAGTGTTCAAAGAAAGACCAAACTTGTCTAGAATTCAAGACACTCATGCTTCTGTTTCCCAAGTTCTACAATTACAGGTGTGTGCCACTTTGCCAGATATTGACATCCCTAATGAATTAAATTTGCATGGGCCCTTGAGCTGAGAATCAAGTTTTTCAGTCTGTTGCTATCCTTTCAAATTTTCTACTCTGTTAATGTCCTTCATCTTTCCTCACATTGCTCAAGTTTGCATGACCCTGCTTCCTACTGCAAATCATTATTTTGATAATTTAGACATACTTTTAATAAGAACTGGCATTTATGATAATAAAACAATTACATTCTAATCACAGATATAGAATATACACAGGTCAGACACATGAGTCATTAATTTAATATTTTGTTCATTTGTTTTTGGAAACAGGGATTCATTATATAGGCCAACACATTCTCAAATTTAAAACATCTTGCTCCAAGGCCCTAACTGCTAGAATCAAAATATGTGCCATCACACCTGATGAATGTCCTATGAGAAAAACAGATTATTGGCTAATGAGAAGGCTGAGCCACTGAGAGTGCTTGCCTCTAAGCCTCATGACCTATGTTCAAACCCAATGGCTTACTGAAATGCATCAATAAGGCAAAGGACACTGTCAATTGGACCAAAAGGCAGCCTACATAATGGGCAAAGATTTTAACCAATTCCTGTAGTGAAGAGGTGAGCAGGCCTGCTTTTTGTTCTGTCTGGCTCCCGCATGGCTAACTTTACACCCGAAATAACAACACACAAATTGTATTCATTTAAACACTGCCTGGCCCATTAGTTCTAACCTCTTATTGGCCAACTCTTACATCTTGACTAACCCATATCTAATAATCTGTGTAGCACCACGAAGTGGTGCCTTACCAGGAAGATTCTAACCTCCGTCCATCTTGGAGAGGAGAGCTATGGCGTCTGCCTCACTGCCTTCTTCTTCCCAGCATTCTGTTATGTCTTTCCCACCTACCTATGTTCTGACCTATCAGGCCAAGCAGTTTTCTTTATTAATTAACCAATGAAACAACAGATAGATAGAAGACCCACTTACATCAAATTCCACATCAATAGAGGATTAATATCCAAAATATATGAAGAACTGAGAAATGAGGTATCAAAAAGCCAAATTATCCAATTTAAAAATGGGGCATAGAACTAAATAGATAATTCTCCACAGAGGAATTGCAAATGATTGAGAAACAAATAATAGAAATGCAAAAATTTGCAAGCAAATGGATGCAACTAGAAAAAGTTACGCTGAGGGAGGTAACCCAGACTGAGAAAGATAAATGCACTATGTATTCACTTATATTTAGATAGTAGCCATTATGTAAGATATTGCCAACCATAGAACCAGAAAGTTATGTATAGAGGAAGAGACTGGGTAAGGGGATACATAGGAATTCCTGGGATGTGGAAGTTAAAAAGTTTTATGGATTGACTGTGGAAGGTTGCAGCTGGAACAGGAGAATTGGGTAAGAATGAGAAGCGAATGTGGGAAGGAACAGCTAGAGTTGAGAGGCAATAGAGTGACAGTATGGAAACCTAGTGTAGGATTTCCTTCTCAAATATAAGAAGATGATCCAAATAATGTCTCAAAATAGTGGTGGTAAAGAATTTCAACTGGCTATTCTTGTCACTAAAAGAAGATTCCAGTACAAGGACTGGGTTACATCCAAATGAGTTATTGGCTAAATGGATTCCATGGAAGGCCCCAAACAATCCAGACTGTTGCCAAGAGTAAGATGCTCTCTATAAATCGACAGCAAGGCCCTATTGTTAAAGACAATACTCACACAACTCATTGAACATGGAGAAGTCAAGAGGTACCTACATTGAACCTTCACCCTATGTTCTAGTGTCTTTGGTAAAGGCAGGTACTCTACAGGTTACCAAAAGAGAAATGTATACAACTCAGTCACAAGTTGTTTGATCTAATATTCTGTCCTGATTGCAAAATAAGCTAAGGCAATGGAGGCACAAAGCTTGTGGACACAACCAGCCAATGTCTGATTTGACATATGGCTCATTCTATGAGGTTAAACCTATACGTAACACTATTGGGTGTCTATTGTAGTGTGAGGCTGCTTGTTTGTTTCCTGGCTGCCCAGAATCCTGAAATAATCACACAGAAACTGTATTCATTAAATTACTACTTGGACCATTAGCTCTAGCTTCTTATTGGCTAACTATTACATCTTAATTCAACCCATCTCCATTAATCTGTGCATCACCACGAAGTCGTGGCCTACCAGCAAAGTTTTTAGCACATCTGTCTCTGGCCATGGCTTCTCCTTGACTTCACCCTTCTTTCTCCCAGCATTCATTTTAGTTTTACCCACCTGTCTGTATTTGCTATGCATGCCCAAGACAGTTTCTTTATTAACCAATGGTATTCACAGAATACAGAAGGGAATCACACATCAGGTGACTAAGAACCAGACACTGGATATCCCAGAGACATAGGGTAAAACCAAAAAGTACTGGTCTTTTTAAAAAGGAAATGGTGACAAAATGATAATATTCTACTGTACACATAGATCAGTGCTTTTTTCAGTGATCATCAGAGAGGCTCTTTCTATAGCATATCTGAACAATTACGGAGACACACAGACAGACATTTCCCAGAAAGAGAGAGACAGAGAGACAGAAGTGAGACTTTGGAATAGTCATCTCTAAATGGGATGTCTCCACCAAATACCTCTCCTCAGAGCTCAGGGAACTCTGTGGTAGAAGAGGTGGAAAGAGTGTAAGAGCAAGAGCAAATGGAGGACACCAGAAAAACAAGGTCCTTTAAACAAATTGAGCAAGCTCCCATGAAATTACAGAGACTGAAGCAACAAGCACAGGGCCTGTGTGGGTCTGTGCCAGGTGCTTCACAGATATAATGAAGCTTTCAGTTTTGTATTTTAATGCAATACATATATAGTTTACCAATTCTCTTGGACTCTTATGTCGGTTTGCCTTATCCAGTTTCAGAGTGATGATGTTTATTTTACCTTATTATATTTTATTTGGTTATGGTTCTTTGTTTCCTTTTAGAAATCTACTCTTTTCAAATGAGAGACAGAAAGAAATATAGATCTGGATGAGAGGAAAAAAGGTAGAGGAAACTGTAATTAAGATATATTGTATAAGAAATAAGTCTATTTCAATAAAAAATTAAGAAAAGAATCAATTGCAAGATAAATGAGATATATATGAGATAGATAAAATGAGGGGCAGAAAGGTAGATAGGCAGACAGACAGTAAAACTGACAGGAAAAGTTTGTAAAATTGGCTCCAGCTCATAACCTGAATACATTAATGGGGAAAGCCATTTTATTGCAGCCAGCTGGGGTTCCAAAGGAAACATAGTGTCCCATTACATGAGGCTTTCAAGGAAAAAAAAATAAAACTAGTGGAAAGGTTATACCATCAATTTTTCTTGCAGATATCCAGCATAAACTGAGGAAGCACGTGTAAGGTTAGCCAGCTGGAGTTCCCCATCTGGATTTCCAGGAAAAACAGAAAACAGTGAAAGATGAGCCTGGCAAGTTTATCTGTGGGGGAGGGAAGAATCAATCAGAAACTCCAGTTTACTATTTCAGCTCTTCCAGTAAGCTCCTGCTGGATGTCGAGAACACCTGGTATGTTTATGTGATCTCTATCTGCTGCTATTTTTTTCTTAGAAGTCTCATCCAAGAGGACTCTCAAAGTGGAAATTCAGATACCTGCCATAAATTCGTCACCTTATTGGACCAATGCTTATATCTTGAGGGCCTAAAATAATGTTTTACTGTCTGCCTGCCTGCTTGCCTATCTGTTTTTCATGTATTTATCTACCTCTTCCTTACTATGAATTCTTCTACTTTTGTTGCCGCATACTTAGTAAACTTAAAAGTAAATTTAAAAGGGAAATTATGAGTATGTTAGGTCATGTTTCAGTCTGTACAGAATATCAGACAAACTATATTTATAAATACTATTGTATAGACTGAGCATGTATGTATACACATATACACATATATTCATGCACATACACATATATGTATACATATATACATACATATTCCATATATATATATATACACACACACACATGCAGACATAAATATGCACCCATGAATGTAATAAAAATTAGTAAAGGAAGAGGCCATGATACAGAGATAAATGAAGGATATATGGGACAGTTTGGAATGAAGAAAGGAGAAATATAATTATATCAATCTTAAATATTATAAAACTATAAAAAATTTAGAGAAAACATTTTCTGTTTCTTGGCAGGATGGATTTTTCTCATTAGGTGACTGTTTTCCCACAATCAAAATGAAATGTCAGAGCATAATAAAATGTTTAAGATCTATGATATAAATTTGGCTAAAAATGTAAAAGTGTGAATTTTTTCAAAGTTTGAAATTGTCTTGATCCTAGCTTTTTCCAGATAAGTGAGGACTAACAAGTTACATGCATAACCCTAATTATATGTAAACACGAGCAAACAACAAATAACACAATACAGAATACCTAACATCAGAGTCAAGCATAGTGATGAAATTCCAGAACCCTATACCCATTTAAGGCATAGTTTGAGATTCCTTAGATATGATGGCATTCTCAAACACTGAAAGACAGACGTAAAATCCTGGTAAAGCACAAAGTAATAATACAGATGTGACATAATCTTCTACTTTCTAAGTTCATTGGAGATCAGAAAGAGCCAATTGTTGGCGCTTTGGTGCCTTACATTCACAAATAAATATTCTTGATTGACTTATCTGATGAATGATAATTTGGTTTAAATGGGAAAAGTTATTCATTTTAGTGACTATGACATTAAACTTGTACAACCTGAAAGAATAAAATCAATCCCCCACAGACACAGGGATATTTAAAGTCTGTTGGGTGTTTTGTCTTGTTCAGTGGCTTTCTTTAATTTAAGTTGAATAGCATTTTGAAAATTGATCTTGCTATGTTTATTATTTACACATTAAAAAGAGTTTATTTTGTCTCTCAAAATTATATTTAGAAGCCATTCATACTTTGAGGTGTAGAGAACAGAGAAAAGCCCATTTTGTTAAAAATTTTCTCCATAATTGCTTATCAGAAACTCCATAAGTGGATCAGTTTTTAATTATTCAAAATTTTTCTAATTTTTCACTTAAAGCTTTCTTATAGTTTATTTTCTATGTCCAATATTTTATAATAAAGTTTAAAATTAGCAAGAAAATATCCCCATACACACAACAGATAAATACATTTGATTAGAAAGTATATTTTTCAAACTATCTCCACTTACCTTCTCCTTTCGCAGTAGAAAGCCACAGGGTTAGAACACTAAGAGTAACACACTAGACCACCCCATCTACTAAAACCTAATGTTCTCCAGCAGCAGTGGTGCTTGTGGGAATCCTGTCATTAACAGTACTGCGTGTGGCTTTGATTTTTAGTGCATTACTGGAAGCTAGCTCAGTAAATATCAAAGTTCACAGAAAGACAGATAAAATAAATAACATTCAAACACTGTTTTCACAATATTCAAACATTGTTTTCACAATAGTACTCTAATTTAGTCATTTTACCTTTGTTAAACAATAAAAACCATCCAATTTCCCAAGCACTTAGGAGGCAGAGGCAAGCAGATCTCTATGAGTTCAAGGCCAGCCTGGTTTATACTACAAAATGTGTTCTAGGACAGCCAGAGCTGTTACAGAGAAACCCTGTCCTGAAAACAAAACAAACAAACAAACAAATGAAAACAAAAACAAAACAAAATAAAAAAAAGAAAAGCAAGCATCCAATTTCTTTATGCCAGTCTCCTAGACAATCAAACAAGAATTCAGAAAGGAAGACAAGAGATTAAATTTCTTTTTAATTTTTTTAATTTAAATTTATTTACTTAAAAAAAAACCTTTATTGCTTTTTTGTTTGTTTTTGCATCCCAACCAAGTTTCCCTCCCTGCCCTCTTCCCAATTCCTGTCCCCTCCCCAACTACTCCACTTCCTTTCTTTATCTTCAGATATAGGCAGGCCCTCTATGTATAGCAAAGCTGGATGGGGCAATCTGTTAGGAGAAATGGGTCCTAAAATCAGACAAGAGTTTCAGAGACAGCCCCTGATCTCACTGTTAGGAGTTTAGTATGAAGATCAAGTTACACAACTGAAACATATATGTAGAGGGCCTAGATCATGCAGGCTCCCTGGTTGTCAGTTTGTTCTTTGTGAGCTACTATGAGCCCCTGTTAGTTGGCTTTGTGTATGTGTGTTTGTGGTGCTCTTGACACCACTGGGTCCTAGAGTTCTTTCTCCCCATTTCCCACAATATTCTCAGAGCTCCACCTAATGTTTGGCTGTGCATCTGTTTCCAACAGTTTATGGGTGAAGCTTCTCTGATGACATTTAGGTTAGGTACCAATCTATGAGTATGGCGGGCGGAATATCATTAGTGGGTACTGGGAGAGACAACTGCAATCTGGGAACATCTCTGGGATGAGCTAGAAACCTAAAGCAAAGGAATCTATCAGGGTAAGTTTACCCAAGACTTCTAACAATGGGGGATGCAGAGCCTGAACTTGTCATTTCATGTTACCAGGAAAGACTTCCAGTGGACACCAACCCATCCACAAATCCTTCAACCTATAATTTGTCCTTTCTACAAGATATAGTGGGGTAAAGATGGCACAGAAATTGTGGGAACAAACACTGAGGGCCAGAACTCAGGGCTGGGATGCCCCAGAGACCCAGGATAGAACCAAACATGGATATCAAAAAAAGCCAAAAATTTATAATTTCTAAGGAACAGAGTAAAATGCTAAAAGAATTTGAGAAAACAATGGAGATTATCATAAAATGCTTTATCTAGTTTTCAACACAAATTTGGAAATGAACAGCAGTTTAACTCGTGTTAGTTTGAAAGCAATTGGCCACCATAAGATCATAGTGAGTGGCACTATTAGGAAGGTTAGCTTTATTGAGGTAGGTGTGGTCTTTGAAGTAAGTTACTATGGGTGTGAGCTTGGAGGTTTCCTATGTGCTCAAGCTACGCCCAGTGACTCAGTCTACTTCCTGTTGTCTTTTGATCAAGATGTTATCAACATCATGCCAGTCTGCATGCCACTATGCTCCCTGCCATTGTAATTATAGACAGAAACTCTGAAACTGTGAGTCACCCCAATTAAATATTTTCCTTATAAGAATTGTCACGGTCATGGTATCTTTTCACAGTAATAGAATTAAATATGTCTGAAAATGTGTGTGTTTCTCTGCGTGTTTTATTTATGTGCACATTCATTCCTGTGAAAGGCATGAGATCATGTAGAGCAGGAGGGACATTAGTTTTGAGCCTCCTTATGTGAGTACCATGAAAATAAAAATTCTATTCCTCTGAAAGAGTGGTACATGATACTGACCCCCCTGTCCAGCTCCTAAAATTGTTAATTTGAGTTCATTGTTTTTGTGCCATTTAATTTCTTTTCTCAATGAACATTATTATTAGAGTACTAATTTTAGAGAAGATGTATCATCTTGTTTTGTCATGTCATTTTTAGTTTTTCAATGGGACTAGAGCAAGAAGGTTATTCTCGGACGCTGTCTGGCTTGAACCTGTGCATGATGCTAAAATCTCTGCAAATTCTTATGTGCATCAATCCTGTTGTGTTTGGAAGACACTGTTTCCTTGGCATCAAGATTCCTCTCTGGGTCTTGCACTCTTTCCACCTCCTCTTCTGCATAGCTCATTGAACCTTGAGAGGAGTAGTTTGATGAAGATATCCCATTATGTACTTCATGTTCCCAAATTTCTCAGACTCTGCATATTGTCGAGTTGTGGACCTCTGCTTTACTTCCCATCTGCTTCCAGAGGCTGAGCAAAGAACTGAACTATAGTCATAACAAAATGTCCTAAAGAGTCATTTCAGTGCTGATAAAGAGAAGTGACATCTTCTTGCAAAAAAAAAATGCTTTCTCAATCATATTTCCTTGGGCATGTTAACTGAAGAGACTCATAGACCACAGGGTGTTTCCCTCTGGAAGCAGTATTAATCACAACCCACACTCAAACACCAGTTTCCAAAACAAAGGGATGTAAGGTGTTTGGATATGAATCAGGCAGAAACAGTAGCAAATAGCTTTGCAGGTGTTAATTTTAAGAGGGACAAAGGACCAGTCTGTGTTAGAATGGTCTAAGATGGGTTGTTAAGTTCTGATTGGACACGTTAATTGGGGTAGCCAAATGGGAATTTTTGATTGCTGGACCTAGATGTTTTGATAGTTGGATCTTTGTGATCAGCTTCAGGAAGGAATCAGGCATAACAAAGTAGCCAAATAGATCATAGTGACTAGTACTAGGAATGCAACCTAAAGGTTCAGCAAAGAATATGGAATGGAAGGGCAAGACCTGTTGGTGCCAGGTTTGCCACAGTTGGGCCTGCTAGAGTTCATCATTAACCACACTTATAGGTAGGCCCCAAGCCCAGAATGAGATGGCCAACTCAAAGCAAACTCAATGATATTTATATAGATTTTAATCTCAGATTTCTTTTTAGGAGGCATTTCTTTCGTCTTACTGCCCTTTTGCTTTTATAGTGTGGTTTCTAAAATTGTGTTTTTATTGTTTTTGTTTGTATATATGCACTGGTTTCTTATGTTTTTATTTTCTTTCTCTTTCTTTTGCTTGTTTTTTTCTTTTGGCCTGTTTGCTTTGTAAGAGAAAGGAAAAAAAGTGTGTGGTTTGGGTGGGTTATAGTGCTTTGAGTGTCTGGGAGAAGTTGGGGCAAAGAAAACCATGATTAGAAGATATTGGCTGAAAAATATTTGTTCCATTAAAAACCAAGAAGGTTGTCACTACATTTCCTTAGAAGTAAAAGGAAGAAAAAATGAGGTGTGGGTGATCATTAGGGCACACAAGCATGCAACCAGCACAGGACTTCAGATGACACTGTTAGTTTCACAACTGACAGGAGGAGGGAGAGCAGAGTGTTCCTTTGTAGTGTACCTTGGAGTCAAATGCAAGACATTTTCCACTCAGGGATTGGGGTCCCAGGCTTGTGAAATGCTACCTGTGGGATGGACATGCACATGGCTCCAGAGGGTCATCATGCTGATCTTTAGATGGCATGGAGTAGCTTTGTGAGGTGAGAGTAAAATCTCAGTTAGGTTTTAAAGTTGACTTCCTTGCATAGGTTGTAAAGTTGACTTTCTTGCATAGTGTCTGCTTTATCCTGGACAGTGTTTTATATGCCTTTTGATGTGTATACTACTCTTTTTAGGTAGCATTTTCAAAATAGGTTCAATTACCTATATTTGTTAGTAATGTTAAGTGTGTCCATTTGACTTCACTTATTTGTGAACTAATGTAATTTTGAAGATCAAGAGAATATGTATGTATATCATTAAAGTCTGGTGTTGTTGATTGTGTTTGTCTTTCTCATTAATCCACATTTAGAAGAGGACTATGGAAGAACTCAATTGTTTATTCACTAAAATGTATTTCTTCTTCAGATTTATAAATATGTTTCATATATTAAATGAGTTACACACATATCTAATTTATGTATATATATTTAGTAAATTTATTTTACCATTTTACAATGGTCTTAATTTTTCCTTTTTAGTTTTTGCTTTATGTTCCATTTTCTCTGATGTGAATAACCATTCTGCTTTGGTTTTGGTTCCTGTTTTCATGGAATGTCTTTATCATTCATTTGCTATAGTCTTAATGTGGTGTCTCCCTAATAATACATGTTGCTTTCACATCATCTTCACACTACAGTGATACTGCAGTGGGGTTTTCCAGGTGATTGTGTCCAGAAGCCTTTCCTCACTAATGGAGTTAGTTTCATTAGAAAAACACTGCAGAGCATTTCTTTGCCAAATGCTGCCATGCAGTGGCACCAATGTAAGAAAAAATCATGTCATGGGCAGTTACTAAATTTTTTTTTCCTTTGGTTTTTTCAAGACAAAGTTTCTCTGTGGTTTTGGAGCCTGTCCTGGAACTAGCTCTGTAGACCAGGCTGGTCTCGAACTCACAGAGATCCGCCTGCCTCTGCCTCCCGAGTGCTGGGATTACAGGCGTGCGCCACCACCGCCCGGCCCAGTTACTAAATTTTATGCCATTATCTTAGATATGCCATTCTGTACAACTTTCTGACATGAGTGCCTTTTAAGGCAGCACACCAGTTACAGTGGTGCTGACAGACAACTGCCTTCACAAGTGTTAAAGTTAAATACGATTATTTTAAAAATTATTTCAAACTAGTAATAGTTAAGCATTTTCTTGGCATTTCAACAGTATGTCCACTGTCTAATATTATATAATATACAAGAAACCTGCTCTGTTTTGGTACCTACATATTTATCTTTTAGATTTCAACATTTTGAAAGGTTAAACTTTTTTTTTTTGCCAAAAGTAATTAAAGGAAGGCTGTTTAAGATGAGTGAAAAAGATCACCTTGAATTATGTATTTGAAATTCCCAGAATTACATGCTGAAATGCCAAATAGACTATTCTAAACCATAAATAAATGTACTGCTATTTGATATTAAAATCATCACTGACATCTTTATAGTTCTCCTAGATATTAGTGAACCTTTTTGAAATTCTTGTCTTAAGTAACTTATTGTTGTGGTTTTAAACTGATTGTATTAATGGTAAAGATATAGAAAAATAAAGATAAACATCTATGTTGCTCAGTTTATGCAAGAGTTATATTCTTACTAGCCATAGTACACTGAAAACAATGTTTAAAATTCATTTTACATACTAATGTTTTATTAATCAGAGTTAACAACACAGGGCTTTTGAAATGTTGCTTGTTTTCACTGGTCAAACAGGAGCTATGGTGCGTTACTGCCATGCATTTTTACAATATCATGTTACATATTTATAGTCCAGAAATAAAAATATAAGACTGCAGCATCAGTTGCTGAATATATATCAATTTTTCATTGTGATAAGGTATACAAGTTATGTTTGGTACCGTAAACTAGAAATTGTCTTTAAAGATATCAAATAGAAACCCTTAACACTATTACCTCTAAAGATAAATATAGTCTTTAAATAAAATTTATTGTATTTATTGTTAATTTACTTTTCTATTACTTTAGGTACAAGTATATATGTGCTTATTGCCTGTTCAGAATAATTAGTTTTTAATATTGACATTATGATAGCTATAGAATCATATACTCAGTTAATTTTAATTTCTTTGTGTAACTATTGAATATTTAAATTGAGAAATTAATATGTTCAGGAAATAATAAAAATACTTTTAGATCTATTTATTAGCATAAAATATTATGTGGCTTTATTTATATTAATTATCAATGTTAAGTATGGCAGTTTGGTTGTTATATATTTGTGAAATAATACTAATTTGGAGACTGAGACAATATGGGTTCAGTTCACTGTGAATCAGAGAATTAGGTTCACAGTATTGAAGAAAATTGGAGAACTGAAAAGTGGTGGATCAAAACAGACACTGAAGTAATTGCATTTTCTTGTCATTGTTTATTGTGCTAGGACTTGCCACACTCTGGTTTAGGTATTTTGAATGTACTTTTTTCGCATTTGTAGCAATCATATCTCAAGCTCCAAATTAATCAAGTTTATACTTATGAGATGAAATTAGTTAACACTTCAAACATAAATTGAAACTGTGTGGGTAATATGCATGCATGTTTCTAAACAAAGGTTCATTCAACTACTAAACAAACTTCTTTTTGTACAACTGGGATAACTGATGTGACCATCAATGCACACTGTACGAAATTGAGGTGATGCATTTGCCTTTTTATATCCAGGTTTACATGTAAATTCTACATAGTCCCCTGATGTGACATAAACCTTTCCAATTTCTCTCCATTTGAGAATTATATTGTGTTTTCCCATAATTTCTTCTGATGTTATACATGCATCTGAAAGAAAAAAATACAGAAACTCAGCTTTCAAGCATTATTTCTTTATTTGAAAAACCTGTATAATGCAGTAAGTCTGACTTGAACTAGAAAATAACCAACAACAAAGAATGCCTAAAGAAAATAAAAAAAAAAACCCTGAAGGAACACATCTCTAAATAGCTTCCATAACATAATATTCTCTGGTTAGAGGAGCATTTAAAAATGAAAAAAATAGCCGCCAGTATCAAACATTGAGAACATATAATTCCCATCACAGAAGAAGATGCATAAAGCAAGTGTGGGGAAGAAGCAAATATAGGTGCAAACATTCTCTTAAAAGTCCCTTTAAGATATTTCAGAATGAATGTGCTGAAAATGGCTAAGATGGGAAACCATCTTGATTAACATCAATCAATGAATGCATAAAAACAGTGTCATATATTTATATGGTAGAATATTTTTCAGACATCATAGATAATTTTTTTATATTATTTGAATGAGAAAATGACTGTGCAGGACAATAAATGTAATGAGCCAAAAAGAGGATGTTAAGCTTCATGTATTCTCTTTTGCAGTGAAAATTAAAAAATAAAGTCCTCCTGAATATGTGATAATGGTAGAGTTTGAGTGGTAGGAGTGGGAGGCTGAGTTAATAGAGATGGCAGGGACATTAAGTGAAATAAGACAACCACAGGAAGGAAAGTCCTTTGTGATCTTTCTCACACAGTGGAAAGAAAAGCAGATTGCTCCTGAGTGCCTGGCAGTGATTAGTAAAATTAGATGGTATATTTAAGGGAACAGGAGGGTGTATGAGAGATGCTGGATTTAGTCACAGCAAAATGTACACAGGTATGGAAATATTATGCTGGCATGAAAATTTATGAATATCAATACATGTTAATAAGCACTCAATAATGAATTGATGGGGAATCTTTGCCAACCAATTATCTTTAAGAGGAGGGACCAAGTTAGTGTGTGGCTTTCTGGGACCCAGAGAAAAATGGCATGTGACCCAGGTGCCCTCTCTCTGTGTGGTTTTCTCTCAGCACAGCTGAGTTTGGATATCTCATTCTTGTTTCATGAGTTTTCCCCTTATAATAAATAAAAATATAATTATTTTATCTTTTAGCTACCCTAGTTATTTCCTGAATTGAGCTAACTTTTATAATGAATAACATGTAATTTTGTTAACTATTTTTATATAAAAAACTATTAATCTTGTTTTCTTTACATGCTGATATTTGGTAATTGTGCATGTGAGAAAACACTAATTATAATGTATGAATATATTATTATAAAGATAAAAATATTCCGATTATGAAACTGACTTTCCCATGATCTATGAAAATGAGTTACTTACTTAAACATTTTGGTGGCTCTGACCATTCTCCATTTCTACATGTTATTTTTTTGTTGCCCTGCATTTTATTGAAGGACTTGCACTGATATTCGACTGATGATAATGGTTGGTATTCTGGTAAAGGGAAGGAGGTGATGTCTCCATTGTCAATAGGTGGAGGAGGCCCACATTTTCCTGTTGAATCTAAGAACACATATTTGAGTGTTTGAGAGATCAAGCCAAAATACAGACTCAAACAGAACCAAAGAAAGTGCAGCATTAAACATAATATCAAGGCTTTAGTGGTTTGTGGCTACAGAAATTATTGCTTGAAGAAAGTTTAATTACATAAACAGAGAAAGTAAATGTTGTATTTATTTATGAAGAACCTTTGAGAAGAAAAACAGTGAAAGAAAATAAAAAAATAGTTAAGTGGAAACCCACCTTAAATGAGCAGCACATAATGTATTAGTAACTGATATTGTAGCTATGACAAAACACCTGGCAAAAGGAACTTACAAAGGTATTTTTTTTTTCTTTTTGCTCTTTGGCTTTGGCTCACAATTGGAGGGCCCAGTCATTATTCTCTGAAAGTCATAGTGGTGAGAACACAAAGTAGCTGCTCAGATTGTGTTTGCAGTCAGGAAGCAGAGAGAGATTACTCTTGTTACTCAGCTTACTGTCTCCTTTTATGAGTCAGAGGTTCCAGCACATGGAACAATGTTCACCAGTGCAGGGTGTTCCTTCCCATGTAGTACCCCCAATCTAGTTACCTTAGTCTAGTAGATGCTCAGAGACATATCCAGATGCTTGTTGATTGGGTGATTCCTGCTGACATCCAATACTCATCATCACATTGAGATGACAAGTATATGGTTCAGGATTGGCTTAACAGTAAAGCAAAATTACTTCTTTTCCTTTCATTCCCTTTAAATCAATTTCCTTACATTGCACAAGATATAGCATTTTTTTCCCTGAGCTTATAAAATCAGACACCAATTGCTATTCTTTCATTTCTTAAAACCAAAGCCTACCATCTCAGCTTTTTCTCACATCTATTTCTGAACCATGATGATCTATACTTGTTTATTCTCTATATTATCAAATTATGGAGTAAAACATTAGGTTTAGGATATTCTTTAGAATTTCCCTGTGGATGTGCTCACCATACCCACAGTTTTATGCAGATAATATAAACAAACTATAGAACACAGATAATTTAAATGACAAAGAAAACTTTGCAAATTTCTTGTTTATAACATCAAGATGAAGACACCTATCTAGCTTCTTTTTACCCTTTACTCTCCTTTCTCTTATTTTTCCTTCATTTACATAATCCTTTTCTTAAGAAAAGAGAGTAAATTCAGAGGAGAAATTATCTCTTTGAAGTAGTGTAAAAGTACAACTGACTAGGTTAAAACAACTTCATATAGGTTTGTATATTTTATTAATGTATTTTATTAATGTATGTTTAAATAGGTTTTACTTATTCTATTTATATATCACCATATAATTCTATAAAATAACAGTTATTAATTCTCTTCTAAAGCAAAGAGCTTGACTAGCTCAACTATCTTTACTGAGGCAGACCAGGATGAAATACTGCTAGAGCTAGAGGGAATGAAGGACACCAAGGGAACAAGGACTTCTAAACACATCAGGCACATGTAAACTCATAGGTTGTGTGACATTATGCACAGAACCTACATGGATCTAAGCTATGGTGTGGGAAGTCTTTCCCTATGTGTGTTGCTTTTGTTGGATAATGAATAAAGAAGCTGCTTTTGGTCAATGGCTTGTCAGAATGGAGCTAGGCAGGGAAAACTAAACTGAATGCTGAGAGAAAGAAGATAGAGTTTGTAGAAATCATGAAGCCACCAGAAGAGAAAGATATGAGCCACCAGCTGGAACCTTGAGAGTAGGGCATGCATCTCATGGTAAAATATAAAATTATTAGAAATGGGTTAATTTAAAATATAAAATCTAGCCAAAATATGCTTAAGATATTAGCCAAATGGTATTGCAATTGATTCAGATTTCTGTGTGGTTATTTCAGGTCAGAGTAGCTGGAAAATGGCCTCCTACAAGGGATTGGCTGGCCAATGTGGGTAACTAAATCCACATAAAAACCTGAGAGAGTTTGGAAAGGAATTCTAGACAAAATATACCAGAGTTTAAAGCAGATTCTTGCTCTGTTTGCTGACAGCAAGCAGAGACTGACTGCTTTAAGAGAGGTCTTCCTGATTCAGTGGTAGTAGCAAAAGAAAAAAAAAACTGCATGCTTTCCAAATGATAGCTCCCTGTTTCGTGCTGCCAACATGAGCTCTGGCTCCTTCAGCGTGGTCGAGCACTTGAATATGGTTAGTGAGTAGCATGTTACAACCTGCTTAATGGTGCTACATAGATCCATTGTATACTTGGAACTGGGTTAGTGTGCAAGGCTCACAGGAGACAGTGAACAGACCTTTGCATGTGGACTGGGTGGAGGCAAAAGGCAAAGAAGCCTTAGTCCTAGTAACAGTGCTGAGAAGTACTCCTTGACAGGAAAGGATTTCAGATACACAACAGGACAGATTTAGACATAAAAGACCTCTACACAAGACACAGTATACATAAAAAATGTACATAGATTTGGGAGAGAGAAGAAAAAGAGTAAAGACACAGTAAATGTAACATAAAAGAGTATAGACAGTCATAGATTAAAGGAGTGCAGATAACAAAATAAATATTAAACTTGTAGAAAAAGTTATGGAATAAGAAAAATAAGCCAAATAAAGATTAAATATACACAGAGTCTGGATTACATATATTATTGTATTTTCTTTAAATTTTTGACTGTGAATAAGTTAAGTACAGTGAGACATTTCAAGTATGGGCTACTAAACTAAACCAACATAGAAATTTTAAAGGTATCTTGATTCTGAAATTTGGGTCTAAGGATTTGTTGCTTTGGAGGTTCTTCTTTTGTTTTCACAGAAGATTAGAGCCTATGGATTTCTTTCAGAGTAATATGGTTTGACAGACCAAGACCACCCAAAAGATTACTGTGAACACCTCCAAAATGACTTCATGCAACAAAAAGCAGGAAGCAGTTTGGAGAGAACTATGCTCAAATACCCTACATGATTACTAATAAATGTTTGTTTACATTTAAACGGAGCTATGCTATAGAGATTTGCATTGGTATAGGTCATAGTTTATTGATAAAAATTTAAGGCCAATTTTGTTATATGTATATTTCTGCTCTTGATTAAGGTATTGTGTTTGTGCAGCTCATTTAAAAATGTAATGTATAATTAAGAAATATAGGTTAATAGATAGCCATCTATAATAGTCAAGCTTGTAGTCTTGTTAGGTTTTCTAGATATATTGAAATATATTTCAATTAAATAGGTATTTTGCAAATCTTTTAAAGACTACAGAATATAGCACTTAAAATGTTTTAAAAACAAACTTTTCATGACAATGAGACAAGAGTTTTGGAAGTTGCTTACAATGTACTTCCTGTTTATTTAAGTAATATTATATTCTTCTGGGATCTTTGATGGAGTTGAAGAATAGGTAGTTATAATTATAGTTTTCCTTAGTTATGAAAAAAATAAAGTAGATATAAATATTGTACCTATAATTTTTGTTTGATACCTGTTTTGTTATATGTAATTTTACTATGTTAAAGTTAAAACCCTCCTTTTTATTTAAACAGAAAAGGGAAAGTAGTGTGGGAAGTCCTTCTGTATTTATGCTTCTTTTATTGGATAATTAATAAAGAAACTGTTTTTGGCCAATGTCTCATCAGAGTGCAGCTAGGCGGGGAAAACTAAAATGAATTCTCAGAGAAAGAAGGCAGAGTCTGTAGAAACTATGGAACTGCCAGATGAGAAAGACATGAACTGCCAGCCAGAACCTTGCCTGCAGGCCATGAATCTCATGGTAAAATATAAAATTATTAGAAATGGGTTAATTTAAAATGTGAGAGCTAGCCAGAAATATGCTTAAGCTATTGGCTAAACACTATTGCAATTTATACAAATTTCTGTGTGGGTCAGAGTGACTGGGAAACGAATAAGCAGCCTCCTACAACAAAGCTAGACATGGCCCTAGTCCTTTAGAAGGAAGTGGACACAAGCCCAGAATCTATCTCCAATTGATTACATCTCACGACAGAAAAAAAGTTTTAGTTTTCTCCAAGGTAGTCTCGCTATTTGAGTAGAGAAATCATGATAATGGCATATCTCACGCCTTGCAGCAGATAGCTAGCACAAAGCAAACTCAATGACATTCTCGCAACTTAAAAAAAAATTGCAAGTCCTTTACATATTATCGTTTTCAGTTTTGTGTTTATGAGATTTCTTTGTGCATGTGATGTGGGATTACCCTCTGTATGCTGTGAATATGATTGGTTAATTAATAAAGAAAACTGCCTTGGCTTGTTAATAGAGCAAAACTTAGGTGGAGAAAACTAAACTGAATGCAGGGAGAGAGAAGGCAGCAGAGTCAGGGAGAAGCCATGTAGGCCCCTGGAGCCAGATGGAACTTTACCTGGTAAGCCACAGTCATGTGGCAATACACAAATGACTAGAAATAGATTAAATTAAGATATAAGCTTTAGCCAGAAATAAGCTTAAACTATTGGCCAAACAGTATTGCAAATAATATGGTTTCTGAGAGATTATTTTGGGGCTGAGCAACCGAAAACTAACTAATGGCCTCCTTATTTACAATGCGTGTTTTTGTAAAAGAAGTTTCTCTGTCCCTTCCCATAAGCTGCTTCCAAATAATCACTCAGAAACTTATATTAATTATAAATGCTCAGCAGGTAGCTTAGGCTTATTGCTAACTAGCTCCTATACCTACATTATTCCATAATTCTTATCTATGTTTAACTACATGGCTTGGTACCTTTTCTCAGTAAAGCATTCTCATCTTGCTTCCTTGGTGTCTGACTGACGACTCCTGACTGTGCTGTTCCTCTTACCAGCATTCTTAGTTTGGTCACCCTGCAGAGGCTTCCTACTTGGCTACCAATTAGAATGGTAAATATTTACAGTGTACAAGAGAATCCACAGCATTTTTCTACGGCTAGCTGTATTTCTTTCACTTTTTCCTTTTCTCTTTTTCTTCTATTTGCTTGTTTGTTTTGTCCTACTCGACTTTGTTTTTATTTTATCTTATTCATATTTTTAGATGTCTGTTTGTTTTCTTGAGGGAGAGAGAGAGAGAGAGAGAGAGAGAGAGAGAGAGAGAGAGGAGAGAGAAGAGTTGTGGGGTTAGAATGAGGGGAGATAGGGAAGATCTGGGAGGAGATGAGAAAAGGGAATCTGTATATTGAATGAAAAATAAGTCTTTTCAGTTAAAAATATTTATAAAGTAATTACAAGCTTGCTATTCTATTGTTAATTACTTTGGTAGGTTTAATGATATCCCCACCTGATTTTACATTTTAAGCTCCCAAAGCAAAAAAAAATATGACTTTATAAGTCAAAGTAACTTCAGAATTGTGATTAAGGATCTTGAAAGAGGTGGTTATCTTTATTATTTGCTATGACAGAAGACAATGCCATGGCAGAGGTAGGGATCATGAGAAAAATGTTCAAATATGACAAACAACTGAGTCTGAAATTGGAGGAAGATGACCCTCACCAGACAAAACAATAGAATCTTGTACTAAAAAGGCAGGTGAATAGAACTGCTCTTAGAGAAAATAAAGAAACCAGGGAGGCCAACACTTGGACTAGAGCCAAGAGGCAATGTCTTGGATCTCTTGTCTCCAAAGTTATAATGGAATGGATTATACTGTTTTACTCTACCAAATTTATAGTGACTTGTCATGGTAGTCAGAGAAAGAAATCCAACTGTACCAAGGCAATGATATGCCATTTTGTGAGAGTTCAATACTAGAAAAAAAAGGTTTTCTTGTTTTCCTCTACCAAATATTATCAACTGATGTTTATAAACATATACCCTGCAATCAAACTTGACTGTTTTCTTATTCAGCGATGCTTAAAAAATGACAACTATGCTAAAAATTATTACATTACTTTTTGTTGTTATGTGCAGCAGTGTTCTGAATGTGTATCCATGCATCACCTGTACCCATGGTATCCTGATATTTAAGAAGATGGCACTGGAAAATCCAGAATTGGAGATACAGAAGGTTATGAGCTGACATATGGGAGCAGAAAACACAGTCCTCTATGAGCAGTCAGTGTTCTTAAGTGCTGGTCTAGCTCCAGCCCCCCCCCCCCCCATGTTCATTTTGAACATATACGGGATTTAAACTCAAAGCACAAGGGTTTTGAACATTTAGATTTTGCTCTGTTTTGAAACCTTTTTCCTCCTCAGTATATTTTATGTTATATCAAAAAAAATTTTAACCAGATGGTAGTTTAGGAAGTTATAATTGCAAGAATAGTTTTAAAAACTAGAGGGCCACCTGGGTGGTTGTGGCACACACCTTTAATTCCAGCACTCTGGAGGCAGAAGCAGAGCCAGGCAGATCTCTGTGAGTTTGAGACCAGCCTGATCTACAGAGGGAATTCTAAGACAGGTTCCAAATCTACAGAGAAATACTGTCTCAAAAACCAAAAAAAGCAAACAAACAAACAAACAAAATCAAACAAAACAGAACAAAAAATAGAAGGCCCAAAGTAATGTTAAAACTGATGGAACATTTTAAAATGTCTATGTATATCTAATCATTCGAAAAATGTTCAAAAGCTCTTAACACATGATATTTGTATCTAGCAATAAAAATGATCATCAGAAGAAAAGATATAAAGAATAAATGGAGACACCCCATGCTGGCATCCCATTCTGAAACCTAGAACCAGGTTCTGAAAATCATCAGAGATAGAAATTTTGTTGGAGACGGATACCTATAATAGTGCCAAGGAAAGTGAGCTCCAACACACTGACACAGTGACAATGTTTTGCTGGGGGAGAAGACTCTCTACCAGAGGAGAACTGGATGGTTACAGCAGGCTCCATTGGTGGAAGTGCCAGCAACCTTATCACAGATCCTGATCACCAGTCAATGAGAGGGGCTGTCTTAGAACTCATGTGGGGTAATTTCCTGAAATCTGCACTTTAGTTTTGCTCCAGGGAAGACCAGTATTAAACATTTGCTAAGAATAAACTATAAAATCTAGAAGAAACAGAATCTGAACACGGATGACCCTTCACATTGAACCGCTGGCTGCAAAGACGTGTAAATGGACAAGTGAGACTGAAGGAGTATTAAGTCTAAGTAGAAAAATGCTGAGATCAAGCAAGTGGGCATTTAACTCTTGTTAAAAGGATTAATATTTCTTTTCAGACTCTTCAGAAATTTGGAGTGGAGACCCAGAGACTGTCATTTATAACTACATGCAGGTTTTGATGTCTGGAAATGGACTATATATATTTTTTGTTATAATTATTTGCCCTGGTGGTAGCTATGCTGTGCTTGACAAATGCAATTCAAAATTTAGCATTATTTCATTAAACTCACAGCACTATTTGAAGAGTTTATTATTATTAAGAGTTACTTGAAAGGTCTTTGCAGCTAGAAATGGTGGCTCTTATCTGATATCCCTGCATTCTTTAGGCTAATACAAAATAATCTTCATTGAGTTCAAGGACAACCTGGGCTACATAAGTAAGTTTCAGGTCATCCTGAGCTTCTACTAATACCCTTTCTTCAAGTGTAAGAATATTTTGCTCATGTTTTCTTTACATTTGCATGTCCATATAGAACCTTTAATAAAAAATAAAATGTTTGATAAGTGGCAAGACACTAACATTCATTTTCTAAAGTATGTGATTTACAATGCTGTTAACAATGCCATGAAACACTTGCCAATACAGTAATCAATTTAAATGATAACACTTTCATTAGATTTTCCCTAAAGTCTATTGGGATTTAAAAGTGGACACACTACAGTTTATATTTATAACTCATTTTAGGTCTTTATCTTTTTAATCATGCCTTGATTCCTATGAATCATGGTTTTGCAGACAGAAAATGGTTTGACATTATCATGAGCAGTATGTCTTCAGAATGTACTCCTATGATATTTCTACTTATTACATCCACTTGAAATAGACACATAAACCAGTATATTTGCATATCCCTTTAGATGCATCTGTAAATCAAGTAGAAACGACTAGTGGCAAAAGTCAGAAAAAAGACCTTTAACATGTATCAGTAAACTTGATTTTAAACACTACAGATAATGGCAGGAAATGAGAGCACAGTGTGGTACTTACTGGTGGAAATGCATTCGGGAGGAATGGACCAGCCCTCTTCAGTGCATGCAATGCTGCTCTGATTATTTTGAAGGCTGTAGCCTTGATTGCAAACGACTTGTACAGTATCACCTTGTAAGTGTGTTTGCCCTGAAGATGTAGAATCACCATTTTCCACAAAAGGAAAGAAACATAGCCCTTAGGAAGAAAAAGAGATTAATTCGCCTTATGGGAGAAATTAAGAGCATGTTAGATTGCATATTAAAGGATTGTTAGAACACCTACACACCTGAAGCGGGCTATACGAATAAAGTTTCTGAAGCTTGCCAACTCCTGGTGGTCTACAGTGTGAGTTTTCTACGGGGATGCCATGTCTCTACTTTTGAAATAACTTTCCAAATTTAATATTTTGCAACTGAAAGACATCTGTATAAAATAGTTTTTTATATACTTATTATCTTTAATTTCTGGATGTTTCTTCAACAAGTGATGGTATTGTCTGCTGTACTGACCTATGCTGTTTCCTATCATGTTCTTTTAAAACACCTGTCTTCCCAGGGTGTGCAGCACACATTCACTAAAGGATCAATGTATTATAGGTAACAAGTCTAAGGATATAATGAGCTCTGGAATGTGCAAAAGTAAAATATCTTTCCGTAGAATATTTGAGAGATGTTTTGATTTGCATTTCTCTGATGGCTAAAGAGGTTGAACATTTTCTTAAGTATCTTTTTGCCATTTTAGATTCATCTGTTGAGAGTTCTCTGTTTAGGTCTGTACCCAATTTTTTATTCAATTATTTTTTCTTTTGATGACCAATTTCTTGAGTTCTTTGTATATTTTGGAGATCAGTCCTCTGTCCGATATGGGTTGGTGAAGATTTTTTCCTATTCTTTAGGTGGCCGTTTTGTCTTGTTGACCATGTCCTTTGCTTTACAGAACCTTCTCAGATTCAGGAGGTCCCATTTATTAATAATTTCTCTCAGTGTCTGTGCTGCTGGGGTTATATTTAGGAAGCAGTCTCCTGTGCTAATGTGTTTAAGTGTACTTCCCACTTTCTTTTCTTAGAAGTTCAGTGAGGTTTGTTTTATGTTGAGATCTTTGATCCATTTGGACTTGAGTTTTGTGCATGGTGATAGATATGTGTCTATTTTCATTCTTCTACATGTTGATACCCAGTTATGTCAGCACCATTTGTTGAATATACTTTCTTTTTTCCATTTGATATTTTTTGCTTCTTTGTCAAAAATCAGAGGTTCTTAAGTTTGTGGATTGATTACCGGGTCTTCAATTCAGTCCCATTGGTCCTCCTTTCTGTTTTTATGCAAATTCCAGCCTGCTTTCAGTTTAGGTTTAAGAATCTTACACCTGGAAGAATAGCCAAGATCGAAAACACTGATGACAACTTTATGCTGGAGAGGCTGTGAGGTAAAGCGAACATTCCTCCATTGCTGTCAGATACTGCTTGTTCATTCCCAGCTTCCCAGACCCCCAAATAATCACTTAGAAACTATATTAATTACAATACTGCTTGGCTTATTAGCTTATGCATATTTCTAGATAACTCTTACATCTTAAATCAGACCATCTCCATTAATCTGTGCATCACCATGAGGTTGTTGCCTACCGGTAAGTTTCATTGGTCTGTTTTTCTGGCGGCTATATTGTGTTTTCCTAACTCAGTTTACTTTCTCCTCTATCTCTGCTTGGATTTTGTTTATTCTATTCTGTTCTGTAATAGGCCCCAGCAGCTTCTTTATTCATTAATCAAACACATTCACAGCATACAGAGGGAATCCTACATTAAACCAGTCTAAAATTCACAATGCCAGAGAACCTAGACAACAAAGAGGACCTTAAGAGAGATTTACATGGATCTAATTTACATAGGCACTTGAAAAAGACAAGATTTCCTTAGTAAACAGGGAGTATGGGGATCATAAGATAGGGTAGAAGGTGAGTGGGGAGGAGGAGAGGGGAGCAGAGAAAAATATGTAGCTCAATAAAAGCAATTTAAAAAAGAATATTTGAGAGAAAAGATAATCCAGACACAGTGGATACACAAAGTGACTTTTATTTTTGCACATAAAAAACATGGCTAAGTTGCTACTAAGTAGATGTTTGACAAGATCTGTTAGTTGTCAAATGCATTCATCATCAGCTTTCAATTATTATCTATTTTTGTAGACCACCTGTTGACAATATGTTCTCCACTGGATTTTTCTAAGAAAAACAGTTCACAAAACAAAGACTGCACTTGACCCTTCCACAGCCCAACTCCGTCACATTCTGGACCCCACGAACCCTTCTTCTCTTTCTTTCACTCAGTATTCTTCTAAGAATAGACATTTACTCACTGAGACACTTTGGTGTTGGTGACCATCCTTCTTCTGTGCATGTTATGAGATTCCAGAAGGAATTTGGAGGAGACACAAAATTATATTCACAAGAGTAGTATAAAACCTTCCCAATAGGAAAGGAGGACAGTGGGTCATATTTCTTTGCATCATATAATATTCCGTGGCTTATTTTTGGAAAATCACAAAGTCTCTCTGAAAAAATAAAACAAAGACAAAGAAGCAAATGCTAATCATCACTAATGTAACATCAATTATTTTTTTGTATTTGATGATCATTTTTTATTTCATATAGGTTAAGTGGATATAGTTTAAGCGCCTTCTGGTGTATCATTACATCACTGAAGAACAATGATCAACAAGAAGCTCATAAATAAGCATAATAATTTCTCTATGAACCCACTGCGGTGTTTAATCAGCCAATACTCCTTGAGTATGTGAATATTTGAGACTGCTATCATTAATAAACACGAAGTTTACATTTTGGATTGATATGAACTATGAAGTTTTTGGTAGTATTCAAAAAAGTAGCCCAACAAGACTTTTTAAAAACTGAAATAGGATGCTAGCATAGAAACTTGACTGCACAGTAAGTTATGGGTGGATGAGAGGGCTGTGCTTTGCCATCCTTCCTTGTTCTTCTCATTGATATCATTGATGTATCTTCCAGGATTGTCACTAGTGTATGTTTCATGGGAGTAGTAAATATGTTGAGTAGTCAGTTCAGTATGATATATAGGAACATAATTTTATTTTGTCAGGTTTCTCAATAAATGTGCTTTCATTAAAATTAGCGAGGCACAAAGAATCAAAAAGATCAATCCAATTAATATAAAACTGCAGCTTAATTCTGGTGACATTAGGTTTTTAAGTACAACAACCTAGAATAATGTGGACAATTATATGTGTATGTTCAATCTCTACATATAAAGGCATAAATACTTTAAAACAGTTAACATGTAAATTGTTATGTCTTTTATCAAATTTTTACAATTTTCTACAGGTAAACATTTTCAGATTTGTTTTAGGAAAGTTAGTCTACATGAAATTTTCATAAAACACAAGAATCATATGCTGCTCTTACATGCACATTTCACAACTTCCCATATTATCAATTTAACTTTTACCCAGACTACATAGTGTATAATAGAAATTTTGGTAATATTTTGTAGTCATATCCTCACAAATAGTGAAACATTTCATATTTCTTTACTTAGCATTAATTCTCAATGTTACGTGATACTGATCTATTGGGAGCTCACCAAGCCCAGCTGGACTGTGACTGAATAATCATGTTAATGCAGCCAGCTGCATTCCCCCTCTAGGTTCCCAGGAAGAGCAGAGAAAACAAATGAAAGATAAACCATGGTGAATTTCTCTACTGGGAGGGGTGCATTTGGAAACTCCAGCTTACTGTTTCAACTTTTTCAGACAATTTCTGCTGAAAGTTGTGAGTACCTGATATGAGCATGTGTTCTCTCTATGTTGCTATTTATTATTAAGTAGAAACATCATCCAAGAAGACTCTCAGTGGGCCGGTTGAGATGGCTGTCATAAGTTAGCCACCTTAGAGGATTAATGCCAAAGCTTGCCTCATATTTCTTCAGGGCCTGAAATACCGTTTTGCTGACTGTTTGTCTTTATGTTGGCTGATCTCTCATTTCTTTGTCAAGCTCTTAAATACGACTTATTCTTTTATTCTGACTTGCTTCTTTCTGAGTAAATTCACTCATTCAAAATCAAAGGTGTTACTATTGTAAGTCATTTTCCAGTCGGTACAGAGTCAGACACACTGTATCCACCAATACAATAATATCATCTGGGCTAGCAAATATATATATATATTGCAATAACAACTAATCAAAATGAGGCCATGGTTTGAGAACCAGCAGGTGACTATGGGATGGTCTGTAAGGAGGAAAGGAAAGAAAGAAATATAAACTATTATAAACCTAAAAGTTTTTAAAGAAAAAAATAAAATTAATATTTTCCGTCATTTGGCAGGACATAATTTTTCTCTCATTAAAGAGGATGACTATAACTCACAGAGAAATGTAACACAATAAATAAAGTATCTTTAAATCTTTGAAATAATGTTACAAACCTTGTAAGGGTGGATCTCAGAAAGGATTATCTTGTTCCTATCCTTTGTACTTATGTGAGAAATGAAGAACTATCTAAATTAGCCTTAATTATATATAAAGATCATCAAAACACAAATAGCAGGATAAAGTCTTTTTGAAACCAGAGTCAAAGCCGGGCAGTGGTGGCGCACGCCTTTAATCCCAGCACTCGGGAGGCAGAGGCAGGCGGATCTCTGTGAGTTCGAGACCAGCCTGGTCTACAGAGCTAGTTCTAGGACAGGCTCCAAAACCACAGAGAAACCCTGTCTCAAAAAAAAAAAAAAATAACCAGAGTCAAGCACAGTGACTAAATTTTAGAATCCAACTCCTCTTTCAGGGATTGTGATTCTGGGGATATTGTGGAGTTGTCAAACACTGAGTCTTTGGACACAATGTCAGTCTAAAGGTAAGATAATTTCATTCTATTTTTTTTACGTTCATAGGAGAGATCAGAAAAAGAGCAAATGACTGGCATTTTTGATAGTTTACAACAAAAAGAACAGTGCTCTTCATTGTCTTATTCAAGACATTTCTATTTGATAAATGATGATTGGATTAAAATAGGAAATTTACTCATTTTAATGACTATAGTGTGAAAACTTATACAATCTATGAAGATGAAATAAATTTCACACAGACCGAGAGATGTTTAGAGTCTGTCAGGAGCATTGTCCTGGTCAATGTTTGTTTAATTTTGAGAATTTGTTTGGCTACATTAGTTCTTTTTTTTTTTTTTTAATTTTCGAGACAGGGTTTCTCTGTAGCTTTTGGTTCCTGTCCTGTAACTAGCTCTTGTAAACCAGGCTGGCCTCGAACTCACAAGGATCCGCCTGCCTCTGCCTCCTGAGTGCTGGGATTGAAAGCGTGTGCCACCACCGCCCGGCTACATTAGTTCTTTATGAATTTGAAAAATAAAATTTATTCTCTCCAAACCATATTTATAGAGTATTCACACTTTGAAGTTTATAAAGCAGAAAAAAATCACCTTTATTCAATTTTCCCTTTAATTGCTTATAAGAACTATATCCATAAATAAATTTGTCTATAATTCAAAATGTTTCCTATTTTTTCCCATAAGTACTTTGATAGTTGATTTTCTATTTCCAATATTTTAATAAAATTTAAAAAAATTAAAAATTATTCTTGTACACATAGCAGAAAATACATCTGACTAGAGAGTAGATATTGCAAATCTTTTTCCACTTACCTTCTCCTTCGGCTGTAGAAAGACACAAGGTTAGATAGGTACTGGCTAAGAGCAACACAGTAGACCACCCCATCGTCTAAAACGTAAAGCGCTCCAGCAGTGGTGGAGTTCTGGGGACTTGACTCTGGGCATGACTTTGATTTTCAGTGCATTACTGGAAGCTAGTTCGGTAAATATCAAAGGTCACAAGAGAAGGGCAAAACAAATAATGTTTACTCATTGCTTTCACATTAATACTCTATGTTAATCATTTTACCTTTATTAATCAATGAAAGAGCCAGTCTTCTAGACAATCAAACTGAAGTATTGAGAGAAAAAAAGAGATTAAACTTTTTTTTTTTTTTTTTTTTTTTTGCCTTTGTATAGACACCCTAGCTGGTAGGACTATTGGCTGCTTCTTTTTTCCCCGAAGTTTGCCTGTGAACCTCTGGTGTCATTAATGCTGGTCCTCAATGAGGAGTCATTCATGAAAGGCCCAGCTCAGGTCCCTCAGACCCTGTGTTTCAACATGGTGGTTTTCTTCATTGGTAGAGACCTATCTTCAGTCTGTTGGGGACAACCAGTTGAAATTAACAATAGTCTGTATTGCTTTGGGCTCCACAACTCAGAAGAGTGTTTCTCTTGCCTAGTTTTAGTGTGTTTCTTAGATTGCGTTTGGTTGATAAAGGAAGTATTGTGAGCCTAATAGGGAAAATTTCATTTAATATTTCTTAGCTATTGTTTTTTCTTCTTTTGAGAACTCTCTCTGAAGATTACAGGCCCATTTTTGAAAGGGTCATTTGTATGTTTTTGTTTAATTTTTTTTGTCCTTTGAGTTCTTTCTGTATTCAGGATATTAATCTTATACATATATTTATAATCTTATACATATATAAGATTATACATACATAATAAATAGCAAAATAATATATAAATATATTAAGTAATATATGTTAATATTGTTTAGTAATTAATATATATTTAAAGGGGTGCTAACAAATATTTTCCTCATTCTGTGGGCTTCTTCATCCCATTGACTGTTTCTTTAACTATAGAGAAACAAGTTTTATGAAATTCCACATGCTAATAGTTATCCTTAATTCTTGTCACAATGTAATACTATAAAGAAAGACTATTTCTATACATATATTATGTAAGATACAGGCTATAATTTTTTTTTCTAGTAGTTTCATTGTTTCAGATTGTAGGTTTAGGTCTTTTATGCCTGATAGTTTTTTGACAACGTGGTAGCTACTGGCATAACTTCATTCTTCTGCATTTAGACATCTGTATTTATTAGTAGCATTTGTTGAAAATAATTTTTTCCAGTATATGTTTTTCACATCTTTGTCAGATATTAAGTGCTTGAAGTTACAAGTTCTTTTTTTTATTTTTTTGTTTATTTTTTTTTAGTTGTTGAAAAAAAAATTCTGCCTCGTCCCTGTTTCCCATTTCCCTCCCCCTCCTCCCACACACTGCTCCTCCCTCCCTCCCCTCCCCCTCTCCACCTCCCCCCTACTCCATTCCCCCTCCCTCTCAAGAATGAAGAGCAGTCCAGATTCCCTGCCCTGCAGGAAGTCCAAGGTCCTCCCACTTCTATCCAGGTCCAGGAAGGTGAGCATTCAAACAGGCTAGGCTCCCACAAAGCCAGTTCATGTATTAGGAAGTTCTTATGTTTTGATATTTGATATTGTTTTCCTAGTATACATGTCTGTTTTTGTTCTTATAACATACTGTCTTTACTATAGTGACTGTAATATATCTTAAAATCTGAAGGGTTTTCCCTGTATAACTGCTTTTTTTTCTGATTTACTTCTGGGTATTTATATTTTTCCCACTGAATTTGAATCTGGTTTAACATTTTCACAGTACAGGTCCTATACACCCAAGCTTAGGTTTATTCCTAACTATTTTTTAGGTTATTGTGATTGGGAATATGATCTCTTTCTTTGTAGGTTTAAAAATTTCCCCATTTTTTGGCTGCCACTTTGTTTAAATGATTGTAGCTTTTGTTATAGAAGCCCCTTTGTTTTAGGAGATTGGCTATGCTAATGGTGTCTTGTTCAGAGAATTCTCTACTGTGCCAGTGAGCTCAAGTGAATTCCCAACTCTTCCTTACATGATATTCAGGGTATCCAGTCTTATGGTGAAGTCTTTGATCCAGCTGGAGTTTTCATTTTTCAAAGGATGACAGACATAGTTCTATTTGCAATCTTCCACATAGAGCTATCCAAATTGAACATCTTTTCCTGAAGATGCTGTCTTTTCTCCAGTGTGTATTTTTGTTTCTTTTGTCAAAAGTTCACACATCTGTAGATGTTTGAAATTATATCTGGGTTTTCAATTGTAATCCTTTAATCAGTGTGTCTTTCTTTATGTCAGTATGTCAATACCATACTATTTTTAATTACTAACACTGTGTAATATAACTTAAAGTCTGGGATGGTGAGAGCTCCAGCTATTCTTTTATCATTAAGGATTATTTCAGTCATCTTGAGATTTTAGTTTTTATGCAGGCAGTTGAGGAGTATTTATTAAATTTCTGTGAAGAATTGTGCTGGAATATTGAGGGGGGATGCATTAAATCTGTTGATTGCATATAGAAACATTTGTTATTTTTATAATGTTAATCCTACTAATCAATAATCATTGGATATTTTTCCACATTCTGATGTCTTCTTTAATTTCTTTCTTCAATGTTTATATGTTTTTACTATTCAAGTCTCTCACTTGTTTGGTTAGAGTTATCCCCAAGATATCAAGACATTTCCTTCCTTCCTTCCTTCCTTCCTTCCTTCCTTCCTTCCTTCCTTCCTTTTGCTGTTGTGAAGCACAAGGTCTCCATGACTTCTTTCTCACCATATTTCTTATTTATTTGTGTACAGGAAGGTTACTGACTTTTGTAAATTAGTTTTGTCTCCTATTACAGTGTTGCAATATTTATCAAAAGTAGAATTTTTCTAATGGAGATTTTAGGGTCTTTTATATATATAATCATTTCATCTACAAATAAAGGTATTTTTATTTCTTTATGCTATTTGTGTTAATTTATATCCTTCAGTTTTCTTATTGATTTAGATAAGACTTCAAATATTACATTGGGTATGTGTCAAAAATTGGACACTTTTGTCTTGTTCCTGCTATACAATTCTCTGAGTTTCTCCTCTTCTTTGCTGTAAATTGCCTTTATTATGTTAATATTCAACTTCTGTTTGAGTGCTTGTATGGTTTTGGTATAAAAAATAACCTCCCTTCCTCCTATTCCCCCCACTTTCCTTCCTACCACTCGTTCATTCATCAGAAAGGGTAAGGCTTTCCATGGGGAGTCAATATAGTCTGTCATATCACTATGAGGTAGGACCAAGGTCCTCCCCCTCTATAGCAAGGCTAAGCAAGGTATCTCTCCAAAAAGAATGGGCTCCAAAAACAAATCCACAAGGATGATCCTAGCTTGGACCCTAATTAATAGTCAAGAGTGTACCTGAAAAAAAATGAAAAAAAAAGAGTGTACCTGAACTGTTTTTTCCTATTAATCAGATTGATGACTACCTTAATTGTCATCATAGAACATTCATCCATCAACTGATTGAAGCAGATGCAGAGATTCACAGCAAAACAGTGAATTGAGACCAGTTGAAGAGAGGGAGGAGCGATAATATAATCAAAGTGGTCAAGACTATAATGAGAATGCCCACAGAAACAGCTGATCTGAATGAATGGGGGGGGGTCACTGATGCTGGAATGATAACAGGGGAATCTGCATAAAATCAAACTAGGATCTCTAAATGTGGATGACAGTTGCATGACTTGGCCAGTCAGTGGGACCACTGGCAGTGGGTCCAGGCTTTATCCCTATTGTTTGAACATTAGTGTTTTAATTTTAAGATTTATTTATTTATTATGTATTCAGTGTTCTTCCTGCATGTATGTCGGCAGGCCAGAAGAGGGCACCAGATTTCATTACTGATGGTTGTGAGCCATCAACCATGTGGTTGCTGATAATTGAACTCAGGACCTCTGGAAGAGCAGCCAGTGTTCTTATTCACCGAGCCATCTCTCTAGAACTTTAGTAATTTTTTAACCTTTCATGTCTTGGACTGTTTCCCTCATTTCATTCCATTGTTTGTTTGTGCTTTCATTGACTTCACTAAGGGGTTTATTCATATCCTCTTTAAGGTTCCTAAACATATTTATAACAGCTATTTATTTTGAAGTCCTTGTCCTTTGCTTCAGCTCTATTGCATTTCTCAGGGCCACCTGTAGTAAGTAAGGTGTCTGGGTTCTGGTGGAGACACTATTTTGGGTGCTACTTGTTGTCATTTGTGCTGGTGTCAAGGCATCTGAGTTAGGGCTGGTTGCAATTTGAAGTTTAGTATTTTGTCTTGTCTTGTTGCATGGGTGTCATATTTTTGTTTCCTATTGCCTTATCTAGATATAGAGACATGTGGTGGCCTGTTTTGCTCAGTAGTCCTAGCTTACAGGTTTGGCTACTGTTTTCACCGGGAAAAATGATTCTGAGTAATCAGCATTGACAGTCAGGATTAGTGATATTACTAGGGGGAGGATCTTAAAATGTCCACTCTAAGACTAAAGTTGTTTTTTTTTTTTTTTCTCATGAGGTTCAATAGAGTCTCTAGGGAGTGGAGTCAGAGAGGGAGGATAGGGTTCTGAAAATCCCTACGTGGCTGGGGATGAGACTATGGTTCTTATTATGTTATCACTTTATTGATTTATTGATTCCTGTTTATTGATTCCTGTTATTTGTTTGTGATGGTGGAAGAATTCCCCTACTTTTGTTTTACTCTTCTGGAATTAGTCATCCTTTGTACTTCTTGGTGTAATTAACTTTCTTAGACTGATATTTTTCTTTTAGTTCCTTCTGAGGAGCTGGGCTGATGGACAGTAATTGCATATATTGGGACAACATATATATTTGTTGCAGATTTCAATTCTCTATTTGTTCTGTACATTCAATGTCTTATATAAAACAGAGGATGTTTTTTCTGGCCTTGTCTATTTGTTGTTCTATAGTCCTCCTCACCTGAATATGGATGTCTTTCCCTATATTTGGATAATTTTATTTTGTTTTTGGCTGAAAATATTTTGTACTTTGATCTGTATTTATTCTGTTTTTTTATGACGAGGGTATGCCTTTTCACAGAGGTCCAGAGCTCTT